CTGTACTGTCAGGGTCACTCAGTTCGCTGTCAGACCGTAGCTCCGTATGTCTCCTTTTTTTGGTATTTTCACACAAATTCTTCTGCTAGTTGGGGTTTAGTCCAATTCTGTATCCTTCCTTTCAAGGCTCAGGGGTCCAAGATTATCTTCTGTGTCTGTGTTAATTGGTTGCCCTTTTCTTTGTTGAAGAGGGTCTTTGCATCCTTCTGCCTAGTCTGCCATCTTGCAGGAAGCCTCCTTGCTACTTCTGTAGCTATACGGCCTCCACTCGAGGGCAGTGAATTTTTTTTTTCAGTTTTATGTAAATTTTATGCCTTTTTTTTCCTTTTAATCCTGGCTGTTATACACATAACAAAAAATTTGCCATTGTAACGTTTTTAACCTGTACCATTCAGTGACATTAATTACATCAATTGTGTTGTTCAGCCATCATTATTATCCAAGTTTTCCCATCGCCCTTAACAGATAAATTTCAGTGTCTCCTAATCAATGAGTCCCTGCTCCACTCCCTCCTGCCTATCCTAGTAACCACTAATAAAATTTGGTCTCTGCATTTGCCTATTTCTAGACAGTTTGTATAAGTGGTATCATACACTATTTTGTCCTTTTGTGACTAACTTATTTCATTCAGCATGTTTTCAAGGTTCATCCATGTAATAGCATGTATTAGAACTTCATTTCTTTTTATGGCTAATATTCCATTTATGTATGTAACATATTTTATTTATCTATTTATGGTATCTATCTATATCATCTCTTTATGGATATCTGGGCTATTCCCACCTTTTGGCTATTCAATGGCATGTAAGTGTCTGTTTGCATTCCTACTTTAATTTCTTTGGGGCACATACCTAGGAGTGGAATTACTAGATGGCATGCTAATACCATGTTTAACTTTTTGAGGACCCACCAAACTGTTTTCCATAGCACTACACCATTTTACAATCCCACCAGCAATGGGTGAGGGTTCTAATTTCTCCACCACCTCACCAACACCTATTGTTTTCTGTTTTTTAAATCACAGCCATCTCATTGTGTTTTTTGATTTGTGTCTCTGTAAGATTAATGCAAGGAGCCCTGGTGGTGCAGTGGTTAAGCACTTGGCTGCTAACTGAAAGATCAGCAGTGCAAACCCACCAGCTGCTCTGCAGGAGAAAGATATGGCAGTCTGTGTCTGCAAGGATTTATATTCTTGGAAATCTTCTTTTTATTATTATTATTATTTTAATTTCTACAGTGTTCCCTTCCCTCTCCTCCCACCCCTAGTAACCAACAAAGGAAGTTTCCTTCCATATATAAACCTTTCTTTGACTTTTTACAATAATGAACTAATACAATATTTGTGCTTCTGTGATTGACTTATTTCACCCAGCATAGCGTCCTCCAAGTTCATCCACATTATGCAGTGTTTTGCAGATTCTACATTATTCTTTAGTGTTGCATGGTATTCCATTGTGTGCATGTACCATAATTTGCTTATCCATTATTCTGTTGATGGGCCCCTAGGTTGTTTCCTTCTTTTTGCTATTGTAAATAGTGCTATGATGAACATGGGTATGGATATATCTGTTCTTATCCTGGCTCTCACTTCTTTAGGATATATACCTAGTAATGGGATTGCTGGATCAAATGGTATTTCTAATTCCAACTTTTTAAGGAATCGCCATACTGTTTTCCACAGTGGTTGTATCATTTTACAGTCCCACCAGCAGTGAATAGAGCCCAATTTCTTCATATTCTTGCCAGCATTTGTTATTTTATGTCTTGTTGAACTTTGCTATTAATACTGGGGCCAGATGGTATCTCTTTGTTTTGATTTGTCTCTGGTAGCATAGTGGCTAAGACACTTGCCTGCTAACCAGACGGCTGGCGGTTCAAACCCACCAGCCACTCCTCGGAAGGAAGGTTGGGCAATCCTACTTCCGTAGTGATACTGCCTCGGAAACCCAAGGAGGGGTCGCTATGAGTCGGGTTTGACTCGACGGCACATAACAACAACAACAACAATGGCTGATGATCATGAACATTTTTCATTTGTTTGTCGGCTGCCTGAATAGCCTCTATGGTGAAATGTTTATTCATGCCTTCTGCTTATTTTTAAATTGGATTGTCTTTTTGTTGTTGAGGTGTTGGAGTTTTCTGTAAATTTTAGAGATAAGTCCCTTGTCAGATATGTCTTTGCTGAATATTTTTTCCCAATCTGTAGGTTCTCTTTTTATTCTTTTGGAGAAAGCTTTTCAAGCATATAAATTTTTAAATTTTAGAAGGTCCCATTCATCTAGTTTATCTTCTGCTGTTTGTGCATTTTGGGTTATGCTTTACAGTTATGCCATAAATTAGGGCTCCTAAAATTCCCCCTATTTTTTCCTTGAGGAACATTATAGTTTTAAGTTTCACATTTAAGTCTTGGATCCATCTGGAGTTACTTTTTGTGTATGGTGTGAGGAATAGATCTTGTTTCATTTTTCTGCAAATGGATATCCTGTTTTGCCACTACCATTTGTTGAAGAGACGATCTCTTCCCCATGTAATGGATTTCAGCCCTTTGTCAAAAATCAGCTGACCATTTGTTGATCAGTCTATTTCTGGGATCTCAGTTCTGTTCCACTGATCTATGTGTCTGTCATTGTACCAATACCAAGCTGTTTTGACCACTATGGCTGTATAGTAGGTTTTGACTTCCAGGAGTGTGAGATCTCCTATTTTATTCTTCTTTTTCAATAGTGCTTTGTTTATCTAAGGTCTCTTAGTCTTGGAAATCTTCTGAGGCAGTTCTACTCTGTCCATTAAGGTTGCTATAAGTCAGAATTGACTCAACCGCAGTGGGTTTGGTTTTGGTTTGAAATGACTGATGGAGGAGTCATGGTGGCACAATGGTTAAGCTGGCCTTGCTAGCTAGCTGAAAGGCCAGCAGTTTGAACCTATCAGTTGCTTTGAGGGAGAAAAGACCTGGCAGTCTGCTCCCATAAAGATTACAGCCTAGGTAACTCAATAGGGCAGTTCTATTTTGTCAGAATCAACTTGATGGCACACAATGGCTAATGACATGAACATCTTTTCATATGTTTCTTGGGCATTTATAGTTCTTCTTGGTGAAATGTCTGTTCAAAGCCTTTGCCCAGTTTTTTTTTTTCAGTTGGGTTGCTTGTCTCTTGTTATTAAGTCCCATGAGTTCTTTATATATTCTGGATATTAAACCATTATCAGATATATCGCAAAAAGCAAACCCACTGCCATAGAGTCGATTTCGACTCATAGTGACCCCCAAAGGGTTTCCAAGGCTGTAAATCTTTACAGAAGTAAATTGCCTCATCTTCCTCCCATGGAGCAGCTGATGGGTTTGAACCACCCACCTTCTGATTAGCAGCCAAATACCTTACCCATTGCAACACCAGATAGATACATTGTTGTTGTTGATATGTACCATTGAATCGGACCCAACTCTTAGTGACCCCTTCTTGGGTTTCTGAGGCAGTATCACTAGGGAAGTAGAGTGCCCAACCTTTCTTCCGAGGAGTGGCTGGTGGGCTTGAACCGCCAGCCTTCTGGTTAGCAATCTAGTGCCTTAGGCACTATGCTACCAGATATATAGCTCCCCAAAAGTTTCTCCCAATCTGTAGCTTGTCTCCTTACTTTATTGATAAAGTCCTTTGATGAAAAAAGTCTTTAATTTTTATGAACTCCCATTACCTATTTTGCCTTTTGTTGATTGTGTTTTCAGTGTCGTCTAAAAATCCATTTTAAAGCATGACCTCTATGTTTTCTTCTAAGAGTTCTATGCTTTTAGTTCTTACATTTAGGCACTTGGTCCATTTTGAGTTAGCTTTTGTATATGGTGTGAGGTATCGGTACAGGTTCATTCTTTTGCTTATGGAAATCCAGTTGTTCCAGCACCACTGATAAAAAAGACTAGTCTTTCTCTGCTGAATGGACTTATTTAGCACCCTTGCCGAAAATCAATTGACCTTAGACTCATGGGTTTATTTTTGGACTCTCAATTCGATTCCATTGGTCATATATCTATCCTGATAATTATGCCTTGGTTTTTAATGAGAAGTTTAAAGAGTAATTTAAATCTTAAAATTTAAACAAGAATGTGCCTACTATTTAGAAATAAAAATCTAAAAATAATTACCGCAAGTTTTTGTATAAATGCATATTCCTGTGCCCCAACCAAGACCTAAATATCTTAATACAGTAAACCTGGGGATGAGCCCAGAAATCTGCCTCTCTTTTTTTATTTTTTTAACGAGCATCCTCCCAAAAGATCAGGCCGACACGGACCTCATTTTAAGAGGCACCAGAAGTGCTGTCAGGAGTGCTGTCAGTCCCGGGCGTAGGCGGCCTCCGGCCAGATGGGGGCGCTATGCCGGCGGCTCCGGGGGCGGGCCGGGGGCGGAGCGCAGGCGGTCGGCTGCTCAGGGATCCCGGCTCCGGGCCCTGCACCTGTGACTCTCGGCTGAGCCGCGGCAGCGCTCGCCCGCCGCCCGCCGGGTGTCCGCAGTCCCATGGCCCCGTCCCGGCTGCAGCTCGGCCTCCGCGCCGCCTACTCCGGCATCTGCTCCATGGCCGGCTTCTCCATCTTCCTCGTCTGGACAGTCGTCTACAGACAGCCGGGGACCGCGGCCATGGGGGGACTCGCAGGTACCCACTGAGGGCGCGCTGGGGGCGCTAGATCCCAGCGCCCGGCCTGAGGAGGGCGCGCGGCTGCCGGGAGGACGCTGTCAGCTGCTCCCTGAGGCGTTTCCCCGGGGAGCGGGTGGGATATTTACCCAAACCGTCCGTGGGCAACGCAGGCCCGGCTGGCCCGGGCTTCTGGGCATTCTCTGGTTTCCTCTGTGACCTAGGCGCGTCCCCGGGGCGCCCACGTCCCCCTTCTGCCATTTGCACAAACCTGCAGCGTTGTCAGCCTCCTCGGCCCCCTCCTCATCACACTGCCGGCGGGGTTATCTTGTCTCCGCACCCTTCTGTCGGCCCCCTCCGAACAGTTCCCCCATTATGCCGTTCTCTCTGAGCGCCCACTTCTCCAACATCCCCTTACACGACTAGGTGTGAAGACCCCCCTACACACACACACACACACACACACTCCCCCTTCCTCTCCCCCCGTTCTGGGGGAATCCCTGCTCCTCCAGCTCTCCTTCCCCCGGAGGCTGGATGAGAGCAGGGAAAGAGACTAAATGGGAAGGGAGCAGCACCAAGAGGGGGTTCCTTCTGGAAGCCTATCTGCCTCTTTGAAGTGGGCACTCCCCAGCGGAGCCCTCAACGCAGTCCAAGAGGACTGCCTGCGGTGGGAATCTGACAGAAACTGGAATCCTTCTTCGCACCCACATTGGTGTCTCTTTGCCACCCACCCTTCTGCTGCGGCTGCTGGGCTGGGATCGCTAAACCCTGCTGACAGCCCTTTCTGTGCCTTAAGGAGGGGCCGGGAGGCGGGTGCTAGAATGAAAACATCAGTGTGTTGCTGGAAGGAGGGCCAGTGCTTGCCACTGCCCTGGACTTGCTGTGCTCCCTTTTGAGCAAGCCATTTCATCTTTTCTGCTGTAGACTTGGTATGAGGATAACAACTATTTTTACTTGCTAACACTTTTGTTTTGTTAATGCTTTCTATGTGCCAGGCAATGTTTAAGCAATTTGTTTTCATGATCTCATTTAATCCCTACATTCACACTATGAAACAAGCATTATTGTGCCTATTTTATAAATGAGGAAACAAGGCCTAGAGTAAATAAGAGACATTAAATAATACATGTGGGGAAAGCACTTTGGAAAGAAAAGTGCATGTAAAGATAATACTTTTACATATGATGATTTTATTCCATTATTAACAGTCTCTGCCAGAAGGACCCTAAATGGACTAAATAAAAATAACTAGGTTTACTTATTGCCACCAAGCTTACTGAGCTCCATCTGTGGGTGGAGAAAGAATGGGAGGTGGGGTTTCTGCCTTATAACAGGGGCATGGCCACCCCCTAAGCAAAGACAAGCAAAGCACTGGGGGTCGCCTAGGAAGGGTAGGAGGGGACTCTGGCTGGAATGTTCCTGTGTCACACCACCTCTGGGTTCTTATCCTTCCTGGGTTCCTGGGGACAGCCAGCCCATCTCTGCTCGGTTGTCTGCAGATGCCTGCCCGTTTTCCCTCAGCACCCCTATTACCCACCGTCAAGGTTCACTTCTCCTAGCACCTTTTTTCCTGTTTCCTATTGGCACTGCTGCTTTACCATTTGGAAGGAGGTGTGTGCAGCCCAGCCCCATGTGGCTTCATAAGGCCTGAGATAAAAGTGATGGTTGGGGGTGAGGAAGGAGGGCCAACCCTGGGATCAGAGCTGGGTGTGTTAGAGTCTGGTGGAGGTGGAGGTGAGCCCTTTGTAGCTAAGTAACCTTGGGCACATCACTGGGTCTCAGTTTCCTTATCTGTAAAGAGTGGTAGGTGATGTCACTGAAAGAGATGATCTCTAAGACTTTACTCTAGGTCTGAAATTGTGCAGTTCTGGTGTCTGCTCTCTTAATCTTTCACCTCCAGCTGTCTGTTAGAGGGCTATGGAAAAGGCCCTCTGGCTTGAACTCCAGGGAGTCCCCTGGGGTTTCCACCTGACCCAGACTCTGCCCTCTCTCCCTCCGGGACTTCCCTCAGCCTCTGAGGTTGGCCAGCTGTGGAGCCGCCTGCAGGGAGAGGCGCGAGGACAGCTACCAGCTGGAGCCCTGGCACCTCCCTGACAGTTCTGACAACTGAGAACCAGAAGATGGCCATGGAAGAGAGAAAACTGCTTGGGGCAGGTAGCGGGTAGCACCAGGGCAGGGCCTCTGTCTTGCACTCTTTCCACACTGAGTGGCTTCCAAGACACAGTCTGTAACCCGTCAGCCTTCTTCCTCTTTAGGGGGTGAAATGTCAGTGGCTTTGCTGACTTGTAAGCACCCTACTTCTGACTTGGCATTTTCTAGCCTAGAAACTGCTGAGTCACTGGTGGGCCACCCCCACGTGCTCCCTTCTGCCGTGTGTGAGACCAGGCAGGATCTGGTCAGGGGTGAGAAGAGAGTTCATGGGAATGGATACACTCTCCAGCCCTGGTGGGTATCTGGGAGGAAGTGGCTTGAAGGAAAGACAGTCGGGAAAAGGCTAGTTTTCCTGAAGAGACATGGATTGGACCTTCTAGTCTGGCTTTGCTGCAGGAACTATGTGGAAAACACACAGGGTATATTTTTTAAAAAAAAAAATATTGTGATTTGAGTGAAAGTTTATAGAGCAAATTCATATTCCATACAGCAGTTCATACACATTTTGTTTCATGACATTGACTGCAGTTATCCACAATGTTACAGGTCTCTTCCCATTTCTTCCCTGTAGTTACCTCTTTCCTGTGCCCTTCCCTCCCGTGCAAAATACACACAGATTCTTGCTTTAGGTCTAATAGACCAAGGAAAGAAAGAAAGAAAACAACAATATAAACCTCGGTGTTTGAGCAAGAAGTGCACTGGAGCTCTGGGCCTTGCCTTCCCTGAGGGAGGAGTGGAGGGCTGGGGTGTGAGAACTTAGTAGGACCCTGCCCCAGGCATTGTGTCCTGCTGGTCTGCACTCACCCTGTGGGCTCCTGGGGGTTCTCCTGTTTTCTTACCTCCAACCCAGTTGCTAGGAGTACTTTCACTGGCCAACCCTGTGCTTTGCTTGTCAGCTGGGAGCCCAGAGGCAGAGCTAGCCCTGCTTTTTGGAGCAGGCAGGGTGGTGTGAAGAGGAGATCTACCTCTGGGCATGTGGCCATGGCTGGGACCTGGCCATTCTGCCCTGACTTGTGCAACCCAGGTGTGCTGGCTTCCCAGAGTGTCCTAGTGAAGGAGTGGAAGGGGACCAGTGTGTACCTTGGGTGGAGTTGGTCAGGGAGGTCTGTCTTCCAAGGATAGTGGTGGGAACCTGGGGGGCAGTGGGCCTGCTTCCAGACTTGTCACATGTTTGTTGGGAGGTTAGGACTGGAGTTAGGGTTATGGGAGACGAAGGCTGGGTTAATGTCATCTTCCTTTTCCTCCTGTTCTCAGCCCTTTTGGGTAGGTGTGTGTCTGTGGGTGGGTGTTTTGAGGACATTGCTGAAGCATGCATGGACAGTGGACTAAAAGATGGCATCTTCACTAGTCCTCATTTTAAGCAGTTTCTAACCCAAAAATGCTGAGTCATAGAGGGATTGCTCTGAGCTCCTTCTTTTTCTCCATGCCGGCTTCTTGAAGCTTTAAGTAGGAAAGGATCTTAGAACTCATCTGATCTACCTAGGCAGACAGCATGTGGACCTATCCCAGACAGGGGGCCATCTGACTTCCTGGAATGGGCAGTGGCAGTAAGCCTTCTTCCTAGGGCCCTTTAAGAAATCAGATGAAAACTCGGATGCATGTGAGAGGAATGGGAAAGAATTCTGGGAAAGGCGGCCAACATGAAATCTGGATTACATAAGATTTAAAAAGAGGCTGTGGGATTTTTATTCTGTCCTCCTCTGGTCAGCTCGGTGGAGAGATGCTTGTCTTGCCTCACCTTGATCTTAGATGGAGCAACACTGGTCGCAGGCCTTTAGCCCCTGAGGAAGGTTGGGGGTGGGCAGGGGCAAAACTAGAGAATGTGGGTCAAGCAGGGTGAGGAGGACAAGCTGTGGGCCTCTGCCCTCATTGGGAGGGAACCCTGGATTCTGTGAGCACCCAGCCTGGCAGAGATACTTGAGCTCACTATTTCTTTCTTTCTTTTTTCAATTTTTATTGTGATTTGGGGGAGCTCTGGTGGCATAGTGCCCAAGACATTTGCCTGCTAACCAAAAGGTTGGTGGTTCAAACTTAGCAGCCACTCCTAGGAAGGAAGGTTGGGCGATCTACTTCCGTAGTGATACTGCCTCAGAAACCCAAGGAGGGGTCGCTATGAGTTGGATCCGACTCCACAGCAGTGAGCTTGGTTTGGTTTTATTGTGATTTGGGTAAAAGTTTACAGAGCAAATTCATTTACCATACAGCAGTTCATACACATTTTGTTTCATGACATTGACTGCAGTTCCCCACAATGTAACAGCTCTCTTCCCACTTCCTCCATGTGGTTACTTCTTCCCTGTGTCCTTCTTTCCTATGCATTGCTGCCCCCACCCCCACCCCCCAACCGCTATCTCCATGTGCCAACACTGCCCTTCTGTTCTCCCGTGATTGATCGCTTCAAGTAGTGTATCTACCTAATGTAAATGTTCACCCCATATGCCTGTCTGTTGTTTAGCTGGAAGCCACAGGAGTGAGTTCTGAAGGGTACCTAGGGGCCATAGTCTCGGGGGTGCTCACCATTCCTAGATGTGGAAATGCCGAGGCTCTGGGAGCTACAACCCAGCAGCACCAGGCCCTGGCTTCCAGGCTCGTGGTTTTCTCTCTCTTGCCAAGCTGCCCAGTTGTGACTGCTTCTGAGCTGGTAACCAGAGCATAGCTCTGTGATGATACTCCGCCTGCCTATTTTTTTTTCAACTGAAGAAAAAAATTATGAATGATTTCAGGCATATAAAAAAAGGATAGATGGTTTAACACTGACACTTACCACCCAGCCTAAGAAATAAGGTACCAACTGATTGAGTCAACGTGCCCTCCCCACCCCCATTTCCCTATCAACTTCCTTTCCTTCTCTCCCTTGCCAGAGATAACCACTTTCCCTAAGCTGATGCTTATCCTCCCTGTGCACATTTTGAAAGCTGCATCACGTGTCAGAAACACAGGAGCATGTGTAGCTCCATCTTTGAAAGATCTCCTGACTCCTGGGGTCTCTAGCTTATGTGACCCACACTCTGTGGGCCAACAGGCTGAGAGCTTGCAGCTGGCTCTGTCAATTTCCTCATTCCCTCCTTGCTGGGGACTCTGCGGCCCTGCTCCGGACCCTTGCCAATGGAATTGATATTTGTTCCAGCCTTCGGGCTGTGACAGCAGGCACTGCCTGACACAGAGGGCGCTCATTGTATTGGCTGAGTGGCAGCTGGCATCCTAGAAAAGGTGTCCAACCAGGCCTGGAGGACCAGCCCAGGGAAGGGCTTGCGGTGTCTAGCCTGCCATTTACCAAAAACTGGAGGGAGTGGCATGGGGTCTGACCACGAGCAAGAAGGAGGCCACTTGGGTCGTGGGTGGCCCTGGGGTCCTCATATCTGGCCATGTGTCAAGGCTGGGCCTGTCTGTCCTGCAAGAACAGTGGAGGGAGTTTGGGAAGAGCCATGCTGCTTGAAAGCTTGGCCACAGGCCTTGAGAGAGTCGACTGTGACATTCTGGACCCTGAGGGGCATCCAGGGTGGAAGGACTGCTTCCCAGCATCCGTGGCCCTCAGGGTAGATAGTGGGAAGTCCCTGGAAAGCAGGCTAGACTGCAGCTGTTCTCAGACTTTGTAGTTTCAGGACCCCTATACATTCTTGAGGAGCTCTAGTGGCATAGTGGCATAGTGCCTTAGGCATTTGACTGCTAACCAGAAGGCTGGCAGTTCAAACCCACCAGCCACTCCTTAGAAGGAAGACTGGACAATCTTCCGTAAAGGTACCACCTTGGAAGCCCAAGGAGGGGTTGCTATGAGTTGGAATCTCCATGGCAGTGAATTTGGTGGGGGTTTTTTTATACACTCTTGAGAAAGTGAAACTCTGAAGACATTTTGTTTGTATGGGTTCTATCTATTGATATGTACTGTATTAGAGATAAAAACTGAGAACATTTTTAAATGTTTTGAATTAATATTAAAAATAATATTATGCTAACATAAATAACATTTTTGTATGAGATATTGATATTTGCCAAGACAAAAAAATTAGGGAGAACAGTGGCATGTGTTTGCAAAGCTCTTTAATGTTTGCTTTAACAGAAGACAGCTAGATTCTCTTATCTGTTTCTGCACACAAGTCATTGTGATCTCACGTGTCCTGTGGCCTGCAGAAAATGCCACTATGCAGTCATGAGAAGATCAGTAAAAAAGCCAATATATTAGTACAGTGAAACCTGTGAGAGCCAGAACTTTGAAGGGACTGCCTTGTTTTTCCAGGCCTCACAAGTTTTCCATCTTTGACAGGGTGCAGTCTTACCACATTTCTATTGCTACTTTTTGTGGAAGATATTTGTGTTTTCCTTCTCTGACAGGGTTCCACCTTTTGGCTTTGGAAGATTTGCTGTATTATTATGCAAATAGGTCAGACCTAGTAGATTCCCTCCACCCTGGGTCATTGAGCCAAAGGTGGGCATGAAAAGGGGCTGTTTGGAGGAGGAAGAACCTGCAGCCTGGCGGGATCGATGGCCAGGGTCCCTCACTGACTGAGCGTGTCTCCACAGGTGTGCTGGCACTCTGGGTCCTGGTGACACACGTGATGTACATGCAAGATTACTGGAGGACCTGGCTCAAGGGGCTGCGTGGCTTCTTCTTCGTGGGTGTCCTCTTCTCAGCTGTCTCCATCGCTGCCTTCTGTACCTTCCTTGTGCTGGCCATCACGCGACACCAGAGTGAGGGCCATTCCAGGGAGGGTATGGGAGGGCTTGCTGGCTGGGAACAGGCAATTTAGGAGTAAACCAAAAACCAAACCCATTGTCATTGAGTCAATTCCAATTCATAGCAACCCTACAGGACAGAATAGAACTGCCCCCAGAGGGTTTCCAAGGCTGTAATCTTTATGGAAGCAAACAGCCACATCTTTCTCTCATGGGGCAGCTGGTGAGTTCAAACCTCCAACCTTTCAGTTAGCAGCCTAGAGCTTAGCCACTGCGCCACCAGGGCTCCTTGACTTAGGAGTAGACCCTGGAATTCCAGTCCTAGTTCCACAGCTTTCCTCCAGCAACTAGACAGATCACTTACCCTCTCATCATTAAAACAGCAAAGTGAAAGTGCCTACCCCTTGTGGTTGGGAGGATTCAGTGAAATGTGTGTGATGTGTTCAGCACAGTATGCGACACCTGTAAGCACCCATAAGTGACAGCAATACCAGTTAGTATTTCTGCCCAGTTCTGGGGTGGGAGCGCCCTCTGGTGGCTGTGACCAGGAAGTAAACAGAGGCCCCTCTCCTTTTCCCTAGCGGAAAAACCGAAAGACTAAACTCGCTGTGGAGCCCTCCTTGGGTTTCTGGGGCGGTATCTCTATGGAAGTAGATTGCCCAGTCTTCCTTCCAAGGAATGGCTGGTGGGTTTGAACCACCAGCCTTCTGGTTAGCAGTCAAATGCCTTAGACTTAGGCCACCAGAGCTCCCTTCTAGTGAGTGTAATGCTAAAACAAGCTGGCAGTGGCCTAGGTTAAATGTTGCAAAAGCAAGTATATTTGATACAGACCTGTGATTGACCAGTCCTGACCTTCTCCCATCCCCATTATCTCTAGTTCCCCTGCCTGTCTCCCTCTAAACCCTGGGATGCTCTAAAACCTCTATCACATGCAGGTCTTGCTGTAGGATCAGTTCAGCTAACCAGTGTTGCAGGGATGTTGAGTGGCAGTGGGCTTGTAGCCTGGTAAGGCCTTCCTGAGTCAAGGTCTGGGCTCTTTTCCCCACAGGCCTCACAGACCCCAACAGCTACTACCTCTCCTGCGTCTGGAGCTTCATTTCCTTCAAGTGGGCCTTCCTGCTCAGCCTCTACGCTCACTGCTACCGGGCTGATTTTGCAGACATCAGCATCCTCAGTGATTTCTGACCCAGGGGTGAGGTCTCCGCACCCTGGGGTTCCTCAGGACCTGGACTCAGCCTCTGAGACATCGGGTGGGCCTGCCCCACACCCTGGGGACCACAGAACTGTGGCAGAACATACACAGCAGGAGGAATGTGGCCCCCTGGAAGCTGCCCTAGCCCCCTTTGGGGGGGACCCAGGTGTGGAAGAAAGGGAGGCCTGCCATGTTGCTCATCAGCCTGGCTGGAAGGCAGCTTTAGACCTTTTCAAATTGATCTATTTTCTTAGCACTTGGTGAGGAATCTTTGCAGGCAGGGCCAAGGCCTCCAAGCCTTGATCTCTGCCTGGTTTCAGGGGGCAGGCTGTTTGGTCTCTGCTGCCCTAGGCCCTTTCCCTGAGGCCAGGGCGACAACCTGGGCAGGCCAGAGTAAGTATGGCATCTCTAGTAGACACTTCTCACCCCACTCCACCCCAGCATCCCCACCCTGTTGTCTCCCAAAGGTCAGGTCGATTAACTCATGGGGCAAAGAATGGCAACATTTGATTCTCCCCGCAGTTTGGGGAGTTGGGCAGAGGGTTGAGTGCCCCTCCTCCCACCCTGTCCCACCCAGAGCTGGTCTCCCATGTCTGTGCTAGGGCCAGGCGGTCATCTGTTGCTACTCTCTCTCACATACCTTATACCCCACACACCCCAGAGCAGGACTCAACAAGGACAGGTTAAGGTTCGGAAACAGGCTTCTGCCTCCGGAAGGGCTTTGAGGGGAGGGGCCGCATGGTGCAAGCTGGAAGGAGCCCCCAGGCCTGTGCCCAGGCACCTCCAGCTGTTTCTTCCGACTTCTCATACCTGCCCCCCCTGTGCCCAACCACCCCAGCCATGATACCTTCTTGCCCACTCCAGCCCCTGCTCACTGACCTCCCCATACAGCTTTCATCTTTTTAAAATCTCCCTTCTGAAGGACAAAATCTGCATTTCTGCCCACACACTGGCCCCAGGGCTCCCTTCACTTGGGAGGGAAGGGCTATTGTTAAATCCGTCTTTTCAAGTTAGGTTGCCATTTTGCACGATCTGCACCACCACCACCCCCCCAGCTCTTTGCCTTATCTGTGTCACTGTCACTTTAGCAGAAATACAGAGGTGGTTTGTATCAGCTAGCCTCTGGTTGTTTCTTGTCAGGTGGGAATCTTGGGGGAAGGGGGATGTCTGTGGGGGTGTTGATGGGGGTGGGAGTTCCCTAGCTATCTGATTAGTCACTTCCCTAGCCCAGACTGTGCCTTGGGGTGGGGGGGTGTAACGGGATGTGTGTGTCAGTGTCTCAAGTCCTTTTGGCATGGAGAAGCCACTAGTTCAGTCTCCCCTTCTGGCTCGCAGCAGCCCCCCACACACTGGGATGAGGATGCCCATGGCCACAGCAACCCCCGTGGGATTTAATGTCCCTCACCCAGAAATGGCCAGGGCAGATGGAATGAGGACCAGAACCAGGCTACCTCTTCCTTTCACACTTCCAGGCTGCACGGCCAGGGGCCAGGTCTAACTTAAGGTAATGAGGCTAGAAGGACTGATAAAGGCAGGCACTGGCAGCCTGGGGCCTTCCTCTTTGCTTGTCTGGGCCTGCTACCTCACCCATTCTTTTAGGCTCAGCATATACTTTAAAAGTCATGGCACATTAGAGCAGGAAGGAACTATAAACAATGCCTATTTCTAGAGCCTTTTACTGAACAGAGGCCCCAGGAGACAATGTGACTTACCTGAGCTCCCAGCTGGGAATTAAACCCAGGTATAGGAGGGGTCACTATGAGTCAGGTCAGACTCAGTGGCACATAACAACAACAACAACATCTGATTCACAGCTCTCTGGGGATGCCGGAGTAAGCCAGGCTTAAGCATCTGTGCCCCCCGCCCCACATAACACACACCTGGGCTGGGTCCTCTGTGCCAACCCTGTCTATGGACTCAGCCCAGAGCTGCCTCCTCTCCATTACCTTGAGCAGAGGCAGGCAAGGGCAGTGTGTGTGCGTGGGGGGGTGGTATTCAGATTCTTCCTGTGGGGCAGCTCCAAGGAAGGGCAAGGTGCTAGAGAGGGGCCTGTATCTCAGCCCACCCGTCCCTTCTCCACACTGACTCAGGCACACTGCTTGCTGTACAGCTGGTTGCCCATGTGCACACCAACTCCACATCCCCGGGGCCCTTGTTACTTGCACTTTTACA